TATAGGTCTATGTCTATGTCTATGTCTATGTCTATGTCTATGTCTATGTCTATGTCTATGTCTATGTCTATGTGTAGGTGCAGGTGTAGGTGTAGGTGTAGGTGTAGGTGTAGGTGTATGTATATGTATATGTACATGTACATGTATGTGTATGTGTATTTGTATGTGTATGTGTGTATATATATACACACATACAATTCTAATATATGCAGAAGTGAAGCCATGTAAAGCAAACGCCTCTTACTTACTTTCTGTCCTGTTGTGATTGTGAGTGTAACCGAGGTGTCCCGTCGAATGCATTGATGGATACTCCTTCACCGGCAGTGTGACTTGCACTATGGGATCCTATGTTGTGGATGCCCTGGGGTGTGTGCGTGATTCTGTCGCCACTATGCCGACCACAGTGCTCGGTGCAGACCTTACCGTAGTCTCTGCGGCCACCAACAACAGCGACGACCAAAGCATCGCAGTAGTATCCATGACATCGTCGCTCGTGCTCGACCCGACGGTTTCTCCAGAAGACTTGGGTTCGCACGTCGCCATGGATCTCTTGGCAACCAACCGCTCCTCACCGCTGAATGCGACCCTGGCCGTTTGGAACGCAGCATTGAGCTCAGAGCTTTTGCCCATCCAAGCCATCAAAGCGGCGGTGAGCGCAGGCCTGGCAGTTGGGGCGCCTGTGGCTGCATTTTCGGCCTTGGCCGAGCTGGCGCTCAGTTCGCTCAGCGTGAAAGAGAGCATTACCGGCATCACACAGGGTGTGTTGATGAGCGCCAACGACACGGCCAGACTTACTGGGATCCTAACTGCAGCCTTAGATGGTGTCTCTTCCACGGCCTTGATGCAGTCCATGTCCGATCCTGTTGGATCTCCGCGCTTGGCCACGGACACTCCGGCGTCCAGGATGGGTGACACAGTTGTCGAGATGGCCAGCAGCATTGGGGGCCAGCTTCCAACGCAGGACTTCGGGATCTCCGGGGCTGGGAGGTCGACCTGTTGTAGACAAGTACGCACAGGGGCTTGTCGTGCCACCGTGACAGCGACGTGCAAGGTCAGGGGCATACGTCCGATTTACACGCGCTTAAGCCTTATCTTCTCGCCAACAGTCATTGTTAAGGAAAGAGCCAGTGCACAGTACAGGCATGCATGAAGATTGTCCCGATTGGGTGGGCTACGAACTACGAACCACGAGGGTTCGTTGTTCTCCTGTGTGTGGCGAGCCCCTGTTTTTTGTGCTCCTAGGTGACGGCGCATTGTGGCGAGAGCTTGGCCCTCCGGTCTGGTTTCCCCAAAGCGCATCCTGTGTTCATGAGGTCTTCTGTCCCTTGCCATCTTTGCTCAAGGTGTGGTCCTGCTTACGTTTCCGCAGGTGTGGCGGGTCCTTCCTGTCCTTTGTCTCGCTGGCCTATCCTAGACTTGGCATCATTGCGCCACCGGGGGGGGGATACAGTGGTCGTGTTTTGCTGAAGCTAGGGGTGAATTACAAGTTGCAACCAGGGGAAATCACGATGTGCAGGTGTTGCTCGGCAAGCTAAAGGGGAGGCGCACGGGCGAGTGATTCATCGATTTCGCATCAGCTATGGGCTGTTGGGCCCTTAGCTAATTGGGACTCTGCTGCCTCCGCAAATCCAGGCCAGCGAGACCTCGGCAAGGAAGGGCCTGCTGTGCTCGAAAGACATAACCACAGCGGCTAGCAGAAACAAAGCTTCTTTGAAGTCGTGGTGCGCGCGATCTCCGAAAGCTCTCACAGTTTCGCAAATTTTCTCCCTGGGCCCAGGCATGTGATATGTCAGAACAGATGCCAGTCGCTGGCTCTTGCGTTTTATGCCGCCGCGTCACATCACACGATCAAGCTTGTTGATGCCACATGCTCTGTGAGACGAAAACACGGTAGTGCCAGGACATGCACAGCCGTGCATTGGTGCTTAGCCGCGAGTCAACTCTTCTGCTGTCTTGTTTGGAACTCTTAGTCAGTGATGTTCTGATCCTCGTACAGATCTCAGCTCTTTCTCACTCGATGCTTGTGCAGCAGAAGAGTGTTCAGATAGGAGTGTTCGCTTCTCACACTGGAAACACCGTGTAACTGCTGAAGTGGCAGCCCTGAAGCCAGAATTGTTTGCCGTGAATAGCCGCCAGGAGATATCAGTGGAGCTATCTCGCATCCATGACGGGGCGCTCCTTGCCGGCAAAAGCCTGCTTTTTGCAGACACCGCTGTGGCTTATGCGCAGATGCGCTGGTTGGGGCTGCCACTGTCGCAGCTGTCCACCGCACGGCAGGGTCTGGCTAGCATCATTCGCCAAGCTGCCGAGAGTGCCTACGCTGCAGGAACGTCGATTGCCAGCCGGTCAGGGAGCCTGCTGGATTTGGCTCGGCAGATGGGGACCACCTTCGCGAATGTGCATCCAGATCGGGGGGCGGCAGCGGCTCATTCGTTGGGCCTGGAGTTCGGCCTCTCCCCCGTTGAGGCACTGCAGCTGGCCGCTGCCACGGCTTTTCACCTCCATGTTGGCCGCTGTGCAGACACGGCTTTCCGCTGTCTGCCCTGGCGCCTCATTGCCATCCGGGACGCTGGCCGGTCCATGGCAAACTTGCTGAGATGGCGGTCGGGACCGCACACATTGGAGGCTGGACACATGGCACTGCTGGCAGCAGCGGCCGCAGAAAGCTCACTGAGCCTGGAGGCCGATTTGGAGGCCAAGCTGGCGGCAGCCGCCGGGGCCATGTCCGTCTTCGGCCTGACAGAGCAAGACATGAGCCTTCACGCGCCAACACTCGCCGTTGCAGACGTCCCCATGGACGTGGCACGTTCGGCCTGGATGCTAGGCATGTCTGAAAAGGCGGATCGCGTTGTGCAGATCTTGCAGGGCACCACAGAGTGGGGTGCTGCCTTGGCCATCCGTTTGGGCGAAGATCTCATGTCAGAAGTCTCTCCTTGGGAAGGCCGGACGGGTAATCGTAAGGTAACGTATGGTATGCTAGTACGATACCCGCGGCGGTCAGCATTGCGAGCAGCGGAGAACTGCTGCCCAAACACTGCACCCTGACAGGGCGACTCGCCGTGGAGTGGGCCATGCGCACTGCAGGCAACAGTGAGCGGTTCCTGGGCTGCTGCGTTAGTCAAACACAGTTCACAGACTTCTTGGAGTGTTTGACTAGCGGTTGCTAGAGCAGGGAGAGCTTCTGTGAACTAAGGAGCTCGCGCAGTGCGGCTGCGATGTCTGCCGCTCTCCTTGCTGGCGGGACATCGGGGAAGGGCAGATTGAGCACCAGACTGCGAGAGTATTTTAGGAGATGGCACCGTGGAAACTTTGGGCCTAAAGACGTGATCCCTGAACTCTTTGAGCCGGTTGGGGCCAGGTGCGACTGCCGGTGATCTCCTCGGAGCCTTGAATAATGCGAACATGGCCGGAGCCCCGGATAGCCGAGTAGCCCTGGGAGGCTAAGTCGGAAGGGACCGAAGCCGAAGGCATCCGACGTAGGGTGTGTTTCAAACGTTGTGGAAGCACACGGAAGGATTGATGCAGGTCTGTGTCAAACCAGTTCAACATAAATGCAGATGCTGTCAATCGCTATCATGCGTCTTCGGATCATGATGGTGGTGATTACGAGGATGCCTATGATGATGTTGACGATGATGTCAGCTAATCTTGTACGTGTCGATGTCTTCTCACTACTGCCCTCATCCTGCCTTGCTATTTCTGCAACTGCGCAAACTTCTGGGGGTGGGGTTCTGGCCTTTATAATCTCGATGCAGCCATTTCAGCGGCGTGTCAGTCTCGTATAGTGCTATCTACTGTAAGAATCTAATCATGTACGCATGGCTTTCGAAGCAGCAGCTGTGACATGCAATATGCATCCTCCACTCCGTGGAGATGCGTTGAGTTTACAAGTCTCATGGTCTGAAGCTGTTTGATCATGCTACAGTTGCTAGAGACTTAGGTGGTGTCTTCGCATCTCAAAGTCCAACTGAGAAAGCCAGGTCCGTAAGCTACAGTCAGGACAGCCGACACCGGTAATTTCGACGGCTCCACCCTCCGGCGTCAAGCCATGGAAGAGCGAGAGATGAAGGGATGCGATCTTCCGGCGAGGCCTTCGCCGGCTTTGTCCACCTCCACTGTTCTTCCTTGTTGCTTTCATCACCCTCCGCTTGTTCTGATCCGGGCGCAAAAGCAATCTCGACTGCCCGTGCCTCGCTCGCAGGTCTCCGCCGCATGCCTCGCCAGCTTTCCTGCGCATGCTTCCTGTCCCTTGCCTGCTGGCTCTACTCGCGGATGGGAGGATCTGAAGTGAGGTGTCTTTCCTGCTTGATACCAGGATCGTGAGCCGACGGGCGCCTCAGTCGGCGATGGCGACGCCAACACCACTTCTTTTGTCTCCCTGCGCGCCTTCAATGCACCTGCATGGCACTGCCATCTGCCGACTCTGTCTGGGCCATGAGGTGGCAACCGAGGTGCTGACATCAAGAAGATCCACAACTTGCAGCTGGAGATGAACACTGCTCTTGAGCAAGTCCGGGGCTTGGACTATCGTGATTGTAGCCGGGAGGAAGCAAAGTGGTAATGTGCTTGGTGCAGCAAGGTCCGTCTAGACATGATCAATGTCAAGCGGCCTTTGCTCCACGAGCTTCAGAAGCTCTCCAACCGGCTCCAAGCCGAGCCAGGAGCAGGGTCATCTCAGACATCAGGCCTCATGACACCCGGATGAATCCAGTCCGGTGAGGATTCTTCAAGCCATCAGTGGGCGGCTGGAGCGAGTCTCCGACCTCGGCTCATTCGAAGGCGGCCTGCATGTCACGTGAAACTGGCTGCGGGTTCGATGGCTTTCGACAGGACAGCCTCGATGCATCTCCATCATGCCGGATGCTGGGCTGCACACAGCTGGCCCTCACAAAACTGACACTGCAATTGACGTTCTGAATTCCGGAGTTGGAGGGCAGCCGTGGCCGTGATCCGGGGAGTGTCCACTCAGGCATGTCCCAAGCTCTCCGACGAAGGTCCTTTTGCCCGAGGTGGAATCTCGGCCAACATGGGCAGGAATGCTGAAGAGTGCTCATTCGTAAAGGAAGATTTATACAGAGGTCAAATCGATTGGCATGCGACTCTTTGAATGACTCAGGCGGAAGATGAGGCTCCCAAGGCCATCGAAGTTGCCCTCTTGTTTTGTCCATGCAATTTGCCTGTGTACCTGCCACGCGGCGGATGCCAGGTCCAGATTGCGGCTGTGGCCAAGCGCTCGGCAACCAGTAGCATGGCATCACTATCACTCTTCAGCTGTACAGCCCCTTTTGTTTTGTGAGCTCGAGTCTTTGTGCCGGCGCTGTGTGGCAAATGTTAGCCGAGCCCGACGTTGTCGCGCTACGCTGAGGTGAGATGCCGCGCAGGACCAGGGAAGGGCTTGAAGTGGCTCCGGATCTGGGACTCTCTGCTATCGACATCTCCTTTTCAATCCCCGCTGAAAGCCTGAAGCCGACGGGCAGAGCACAACGGCAGAGCATAGAATTCGAGGCCTCCAGGAGTCATTTACTCACACTGCAATGTCACGTTCCTGGTGGCTCAGATGCGTACCATGCTGTGGGGCAAGTCACTGCAACAGGAGAGCTTGGAAAACCCGGGTGCAACAAGGAGTCCGAAACGCCTTGGACGCTGGTCTGCAAGCCGGGAACGCTGACCCCGTCCTTGCATCCTTACTCTGTACCTAGTGATGTAGTGCAAGCGCCGAGCCATCCCAGTGTGCGAAGTCTGAAACGTGTGTTGCTTTTCGGCAAGGGCGGGGAAGGGGGAGGACCGAGTCTCCCGCTTTTGAGGTGACGAGGTGACGGCTCAGCAAACAAGTTGGCTGTGGCTGAAGTTCTCCTTTGCCTCTTCTGAGATTTGTTGAACGCATGTCAAGGCCGATCTTTCATACGACCTGGACAGCTCGGGCAACTCTGGAGGAGTGCTAAGAGCTGGGAAGTGCTGTGGCTTTTCTTGGCCCCCTCGCACGTCGAGTAGCTCCGATTGGACTTAGGATGTGCCGCATTGTGACCATTCAGCGGTGCATTGGAGCCGTTGCACAGCAACCGCTCGAATGCAGCCGGATTATGTTCTGGCGTCTGCGTCTGTAGGGTTCCAGCTAAACGCAAATCCTGGCAGGATTCTGGCTTGGCTGCGCGGTTCCTCACTTGCAAGCCTGTGGACAAGAGCTTACTCCGATCCGAATCTGATGGATGATTGGAAGGGTTGGCTTTCATTCCTTGACGAGAAATCAGAAACTCTTCTTCACGTAAGACGTCAGCCGGGAGTTGTGATGGGATTTCAGGCTCAAGCAGGGAGGATTCGCAAGGAATTCCGAGCCAAAGACCTTCGACCTGCCCAGGCTCTTTTCCTGAGCATCGTTCCGAGCCTGACGATCGTCGTGAATGCAGCCGGGGCCTCTGCTCGCGTGACTCTCCACACACCAGCTGGTGGGCAGCGGGTCTGATTTGTGGCCGGAGACCCCCGTGCGCCTAAACATCGACCAGCGAAGGCTTCCAGGATCTCACGTTGTTGCCGGTTCAGTGAGATGTGTGCGCCGTGAAGCCTTGACATCATGCGTTTATGGCAAGCTATGGTAAGGAAAGTGTCAGAAATCATATATCCAACGGGAGAAGGCCCCATTTTGGACAGAACTGCTGTGGACAAAACATGTCACAACTCGTATTTGTTGTTTGTTGAAGCTCCAAAGCGCAGGCATTCGCAGTGCACCCTAGTTTTGCAGGCCGAAAGTTCAGAGTCGCTCAGAGTCGCCATTCGCTTGATTTCGAGCTGCCCCAGTGAACTCGTCGAGAAATCTTGGAAGCTGCGATCACCTGGACCTGTGCAATACGACTTTTGCTCCACGTATCACCCACCCCTCCCACCCCGTCATCGCCGCCTTTGATGTGCTTGACGTGCTGGCTGCAGTGACTCCATTGCATGCTTTTGCCGCCTAGATCGTGATCGGTCTGCAGAGCGACATCCAGCCGGACTTCATTGTGTGGGACATCTTGGAGTGGCCTGTCGGGAGATGATCTTTATGTCGCCTTCAACCGCAGAAGCCTTGCAATTGACAGTCGTGGAAACGGCGCTTAAGATTGACACCACTGTGCCACGCGCTTGCAGGCTGTGCTTCTGTGCCATCTACACGACCGAGTTTGCAACTCGCCCTTGCTGTCATGCCAGCGTGAAGTTCGACTTGCTGCGGATCGTGCACAGACTTCAGCGTGCCTTCTGCCTTCTTGCCAAGGTACTGAAGCTTTGCTTCTTGGGCTTCGGTGTTTATTTCTGTGGACAGGCCAGGAACAGATCTGGATTTGCGATGGGGACACTTGCACGTTTAAGTTTAGGGGAAAACGCGCATACTTAGAATGCCCTAGTAGGGTGGTGAGCAGGTCCCCACCCAGTCGGAATCACGTGGTTCAGATCCCCGTGCAGGTTTGCCTGCCAGCGCTCTCCTGATTTTTCATGAAATACAAGGAACAAGTAACGACAGGCCACCATGAGGGGGGAACCTTTGCAAGACTGGTACTGGAGGTGTCCCGATGAGACGCATCTGGGCCTCCGCCTACAATCTGACCATCACCGCACATCACCGCCACTGATAGCATGCGGCGGATTGCCTTGCATGATTGGTGTTAATCGAAGATCGATTCAGCAGACCGGGTCTGAACGCCCAGCCACAAAAGAATACGCATCCGATTCCGATTGTCATGCGGTCGGGCCACCTCGCACTCGCAGCCGGCAGAACTCCGCTGACATGAACAAGCCAAAGCCATGCAAAGGCAACGCCGACTCTGCATTGTTTGCGGCTTCTCGTCCTTCCTCTTTGCCGGCGGCCTCTTTCTCGGTTTCTTCGACCACTGGACAATGCTGGTTCATGTCCATCAGAAGGAGCCTGCTTCGCGTTCGGCTTAAGGCGCAAGGCAGTCGCCAGCAGCAAACACGGCCTCGGCCAACATCCTCCAAAAATATGCGCCACTTCTCGAAGGCTCAGTTCTGCCGGGGCCTATCGACACAATCGACACAGAGAGCCTCCGGCATCAGAAAAGTATCCCACTCATGGCTGGAGCACGAAGACGCCGCCTCGTTCAACACGTTCATCATCATCAGTGCTTCCTGCTTCGAGGGTTTAGGGTGTAGGGTTTAAGGTTTAGGGACCCTAAACCCCAAACCCGGTGGATCGCCCAGGGACCCGCAAAGTCACAGCATCCCACTGAGAAGACAATGCAGTGCACTGGATCTTTTCATGAAGCTGAAGACGATCTGCGGCGGGGGGAACCACACTAGAGTTGTGCGAATCGTCAGAGTGAAATCGGGGTTGCAAGTTTAAGCCTTACCGAAATCAAACTGTCTCTGCAGCTCGTCTGCAGCTGCGCCATACAGCTTTCACGAAATTGCACAGCGTAAGCTCACGTCTGAGTCAGCACCACTTGATCTGTTCAGGACTACAAATGGAACTGGTTTGATTCGTTTTGTCTTCTCATCTCCTATGCATCTCGTCTGCACTGATGTGCATCGGACATGACAGTCTTATGCTTGTGCCGACCGAGCAGATCAGGTTGATCTCAGCATCTACTACACGATACTTATGGCCCAAAGTTCCGAAAATCAGAGCAATCTGCCGGCTTCTCAGGTCCCCAGGCGTTTGGGGACGCCGTGCGTGATGGTGAGTATCTGACTGAGGAACTCACTGATGCTCATCAAAATGTTTCGGCTTGGGCGGCTGGTTCGGCTGATACGCCTGGTGCGTCATCGGATGTTCTACGAGCTGAAGGCGTGTCACAGAAAGAGGATGACCGCAAAACACTATGTTTTGTAACTCCGAGGTGATGATCTATGGCCTTTGGGCTGGCATTCGTGTTCTAGGCGAGGTGCACATCCCGCAGACTAGCCCCGATTCTGGGAAGAATGGGGGTCCTCGGACAGATGTTGGTTCAACTCGTTTCGAACACATAGAGGTTGCCTGCTGATGATTCTTACAGTGGCTCAAACCCATATCATGCTTCTGGGGTGTTGTGACGATCTCGTATTGCCCGGCCAGCAGCTATCCTTTGAGCCTATTGGTTCAGTCCATGAATGCATTGCCGTCGTTCTCAACTGCCAGGCTGGGCCATCACCGTTCTTTTCGCCAGAGCCCCGATCCCCAAAGAGCCCGAAAGTGCGTGCTGCCAGAAGCTGGCGTGAGAGCAGCTGGCTGCAGTGAGGTCCTCGTGTACACCTTCGGAGTGATCCTTCGAAACATCATGGGGGCGACGTGGCTGCAAGGCTGAGAATTTTGTAATCGAAGTTTCCTTCTGCTGCTGTGCCCAGGACAGCTTCCCGGAGCTTGAAACGGTGCCTGCGGCCATGTTCACGTTGTGCCAAGCTGAGAGTCTGCTTAAGGGCAAGTCACCCCCTCCACGATTTCAGCCATCTTCAGCCCCTCAGGTTCCGATGCTTCACGGAGGACTGCGCTGCCTACGATGGGACCCCTCTGCCGGAGCGCGTTCGCACTCTGGCCAGGGACCAGAGCGTCACGATTCCGAAACGGGCAGCCTCAGCAACATGCTATGCCTGCTATGCTCTCCCACCGTCCCACCTTTCCTTTTTCGGACTTCTACCGTGTGCTTGAAATGCGCACGCAAGCTCTGTAGCTCAGGCATGTCTCCTGTGTACGGCCCTGCGCCAAGATTCCAGCTTGTGATGCATGATGCGGTGTGGCTTCACTAGCACCGACGCAATGTTTGTCTGCTGCGCGATTGCTGCATGCAAATGGCAGAACAGATGAGTTGGTGACATGCAAGGTGGTGGTGCCTTTCTGATCAGTGACTTGGTCAAATCGTCCTGCAGTTCCATCAGACTGATGCTGTTGGTGTGCAATGATTTGGTGCCTGCGTCGAAGGCTACATACTCATGATAATGATCGTCTCGGTCGGTGTTTTCAACTTGATCATGGTGGCTCAAACATCTCACAGGCCGCTGCGAAACGCATGAATTGTTGGGCTGAACATTAAGGCGATTTTCATCGACAACGCCGCGTCCTTGAGTGGGTTTGTGAGATCGCTGTGTCATGGCTTGGGCCCGGCACCTGAGGTCACCGGCTCCCAGCAGGCACGCCGGAACCGCGAGTTGGCGGAAACAGCAGATCGGGTCTGCCCGACTGTTGCATACCTGCAGAGTAGACTGGAAGCGCAGGCGTGGCGCTTTGCCCGCGGCCCTGATGTCGCCAGGTTCGCGTCACCATCAAGGAGCATGTTGCAAGGCGGCTCTTCTGAACGAAGTGTGTGCAGTTTTGCTTTGCTTGGGATGCTTTGCAGGTTTCTCGGCAAAGACATGCAGAAACGGATGACTTTCATCCATGGATCCTCGGCATTGATGGAGCTGAGATTGGCACGTAGTTGACATTGCCATGGATCCTCAGCATGCCTTGTCAGGTGATCTGAATACTCGCAGGGACCTTCTGGATGAGCAGTTGAACCAGCAGGAGGCATGCTAAAGCAAGGAAGGGTACTCGATCTCCGCAGCAGCAGGTCAGTTTTTACGCGCATGCTGATCGGCTTCAGGAACTTCAGGGACATTCCGGATTTAGGATTTGGGTAGTTGGACAAACGGAAAGGGGAGTGCACCCAACAACGAACAATGAAGTACTCCTGGAGCAGCACAGTTTGTTTTCGATCTCGATTTGCTTGGTGCGGAATGTGAAGGTTGTCATTCGTCGGGAGTCATTCCAGCGCTGGCTTCAGGACTCACCTGAATGTGACCATGATCTACTCAAGTAGCTCAGGGCAGATGCCAATGTGCAAATGGAACTGGCAGCTACACAATGACGGTCAAGAGAGTCCATCAGCCTGGCATCGTGACATCTGGGCCAACATAGGTGCAGAGGGGCTTCTGATAGACGCTCGCTTAGCTTCAGGACCCGGAGTTCACAGAAGCGCACCTTGGATTTCGAACCGGAGGGTCCGAGAAAGAGTGGGCATGGGCACGTGATCACATGTTGACGTTGTCAGGTCTTAAAGTGCTGTGCTTTCTGTCTGCTGGACATGGCTAGATCTGTTCCGAATCTAGGCTGGAAGAAGCATACATCGACGTCTCGAATAAGGGCCACCTGTTTGACATCATGGATGCTTCTCGGCCCGCGCTTGTGCTGATTCTCTGCCGCGCTGCTCATGTTCACACAGGAGCGGGCCCGTGACTAAGGCTGACATGGGTGGAAACCTCTCCTTGGACGAACTGGTAGATGGTTTGATGGCACTTCGTGGCACCGCCGTCGGCCCCAGTGTGTGTACGGAGGTTGATTCCCATGTTTGAAGGAGGTAGGAGATGCAGCAACGAACTGATGATGAGTTGCAGCTATCTGAAGTATGCTGCAGGTTTATCGTATACCCGATTTTTACCCCCTCAGGCCCTCCGATGCTCTCCCACCCTGGACTGGCCCAGGTCAACAAGGGCGACATCATTAACATGAGCCTCAAGCCGGGGCCCAAGACAAGCCGAGCTTCATTGAGCCGCCTTGAAGCGCCTTTCGTCTCAGAGGATCCGCCTGCTGACAAGACACGTGGAGCGCCTGCTCACTATACAGGAGAAGCTTGCGCCAGGCTTTTGGTTTGCGATTTCGGCCTTCATCCGATGCTGCAGCAAACTGCGAACTGGTGCAGGTGAATTCCTGGAAGGCTAGGTCTAGGCGCCTTGCACTGCCTGCGTCACATTGCAAGGCAAAAGTCTGTTGTGCATCGTGTCTTCGACTCTGAGAAGCGAATCCATGCTACTTGCGACGCCTCACGCAACATCCGGGCAGAAATACCTCCGATCCTGGTTTGGGCAGGCAGCCTCGACTCCCAAAGGGACGGAAGGCAAAGCAGCACCTTGGCCTTCACCCGGTACGGAAGTGCCTTTAGGTCTGCAGGTTTGTAACAGTGGCAGTCGTGGTCTGTGCTTCGCTTACAGGCAACATGTGCTGTGCAGAGATGCTCTCAGTCTTACATGGAAGTCGCCAACTAGGATTCGGCGTGATCATATATGTGGATCTGAGGTCACAGCCGACACTATCCTCGTAGAACGTGCATAGCTCTGGGCACACCGAAGCCGAGCTCAGAAGACATCATTATTTGAAGCAGTAGCAGCCCCAACATCTGAAATTACATGGCACACGTCAGCAACTGGCATGTGCAATTTCGCCGGATGGATGATCAAATGGGTATATAAACATCTATGCAACATGTACAAGCACAGAAAATGTGCACATATGCCTTGATGTGCAACATGTATTATGCATGTGTGGATGCATGTATGTGTGCATCTACGTATGTACGTATGTATGTACGTATGTATGTATGTATGTATGTATGTATGTATGTATGTATGTTCGTATGTATGCATGCATGCATGCATAACTGTATGTAGATGCGAACTTCAGTTGAAACACATCTCTTCATCTATCCACATATTCTGCAATACCAACCACAGATGTCTGTGCGCATTCGTGCAACAGGTTGTCTGCATGTAGGGGTGTAGGGATGAGCATTGGAACATAGGCAGGCGTGCAAACACACAAAATGCTGTCTGTGCAGCTGACCTGGTTGAAGAGAGTGTGAAGCAGGCATGAATTGAGATTAGCAGCATTTTCATTTTGGATCCAGCTTACATTTGCTCTGTCGGGACAAGCTGATTTAGCAACGAAAGACGAATGGCTCTTGCTTCCGCGAGTGTGCCCAGATACAACGTGTCAGGCAGCTTAGAGCTCGGAATTGCTGTTAATGCACCAGCGCTGCTCGGTTAGTGCACTGCGAGTACAGGTTGGACCAGCCGCTGGCTCACCTGGAAAGCATTGTAGCCCTAGCTGTCTCAAACAGCGCTGCAAAGCTGCGCAGTGGGTTCTACCGATCGTCAAAGAGTCCACGGCACGCTCTGATGCATGACCGCATGGAGCATAGTTGACCCAAGTTTGACGATCGTCCCATCTGTCACAGCTGCTCTTTCAGCTTATCGGGTTGACATCAAGGGACAGGCGAAGTTCTCGTGCTGGGTAAAGAATCACTCAGAATCATGCGAGTGGGAACATGTGCAAGTTCTTGGATAAGATCTTTATATCCTGCCGTCCCAGGTGCCGGTGCAGAGGAGAAGCCGGGGCCTAATGCTGCTAAGCCCTTGCGACAGCTTCAAGAATGTGGTGAAACACACGTGCGTGTGCAGGGACATGTTCGGCGATCGACGCATACGCCGTAGCATCTGCGGCTTTGCGTCGACGCCCTCCGACTTTCAGCTTTCTCTTTAGCTCCTCTCGGCGTCATGGCGGCCCCGTCCTCGTCCGATATCGCTGCGGCAGCCCGCGTCTTGCAGGATGCGCTGGACGGTGGCGTCGACCTGGCGATCCACTTTGGGAGCTGGACCCGGCTGCAGCGTCGGGCACTGGCCGTGGCGCTGGGGGCGTCGGAGGCGGCCTACGCCGATGCAAAGGCGGCGGCTTCTACGCCGTCCGTGAAGCGAGCACCGGCGGTGAAGCCGGCCCCACAGATGACGAACCCGTCGGTAGCGTCGTCACCGGCCCGTGGCGATGCAAGCGCCGGCATCTCCACAGGCTCAGCCGGCGGTGGACATGTTGGCGCCCGGCCTTCTGGCGCATTTGGGAAGTCACCGCCCGCGTCGGTGTGGCACCAAGTCGGCTTCTTGAGCTTCGCCGACGCCAAGCAGGCGGAGCACCTGGGCTTCGCGACGGCGCAGGCCTTCTACGAGGCGAGGGGCAGAGGCGAGTTACCGGCCCCGGCGGTTCCTGCAACTGCTCCGCCGGCGCCGCCGGCCTCTTCCCAAACAGGCCAACGTCGCGGACGCCCTCTCGAGAGGTGACTTGTCCACGGCGCACCGGCATGATTGGACGAGGGTCCAGACACCGGTGGCGTCGATTTTGAGGACACTGGCGAGAGCTGCGGAAGACCTTGAGTTCGTGGTCAACGGCGCGAGCTGGCCAACTTGGCGGTCTGAAGGGGCTGCCGACACTGTGTGGGTGAGGGGAGCGCCAGGCCAGGAGGCAGAATGCGTCCCCCAGCGCCGTACAGCCCTGAACTGGCGAATGCGACGGACCCGGCGCGATGCGCTTCCTTCCATCCAAAAAGAAGGGTCC